AAAGATCCACTATATTTGTGTAGAAACACACACACGGGCCTGCCATACGCCCAGTTTCACCGGCTATACCCAAACCATCTAAAGCCACCACACGCAATCTTCAGGCTTTTGCCAACTATTAGCGAGTAAACATTGTAAGCTGTGCTCTTCTTAACGAAATTTGAGCTATTCATCAAAGGATGATTTCAAATTTCGGCTATTCGTCATGAGTGTAACTGTATGTTACGCGGAAGACAAATGCTGTGACGAAGATAGCGAAGCTTTTTGAAGTATATGGAAACTGCGATTTAAGAAATACTTCCTATTAACGCCTTTTTACTTGAGTTTTTATTTATAGTATCAATCAAAACGAGTTGAAGCGTTCCAACAACCGAGCAAGTGAACTTGACATTTTCAAATAAGGAAGAGAAGCAACTATGACTACCATCCAAGAGAATTATAAATTTGTTTTCAACTTCTTTTTGCTTAGATTGACTTCTCACTAAGGACGCAGACTTAAAAGACAGACGCACCACCAATTTTACCTCACCATACTTGGAAAATGTAATATTCACTCAGCTGGACTTGATCAATTCCTTTAATAGATCTAATTTGAAAGCCCGGCATGCTGAATAACAAGTATATAAGGCAAATTTTGGAAAAAATGACTGATCAAATCGATAAGACAATGAAATGCTCAGGAAAAACTTTCTTTCAGAAAATTTGGAAAGTACGATATTGAGAAGCAGTAAAACTCGCAAGCCGGGGCGAAAGACGGAAGACGAAGGAAATGCCGAAGAGTCCACAGCTAGCGAGGATATTGACGCTGATCGTACTAGCGAAAATGAGGAAGCTTCAATCACGATGTGAGCTTAGGAAAACGGCTAAAAAATGATCTTGAGAAAGCAGTAGTAAGATATTTATAACTAAGAACTATGTTGTTAAGATATTAACCGTTATTTCTTTTCCTTTGAAAAGTACCGTTGCTTCTTTGTTTCTTGACTTTTATTTTTCAGCGTTATCTACACTACGATTGCTGTTATAGTGGCGGCCCTCCTGTGTGTTGTGCTTCCTCTAGTCACTGCTTGTATAGCTGCAAAAAAACATGGGAAACTTACAAAAACCGAAGCAACTAGGAGGAAAGGTGTTCTTCCTCAAGGGCAGAAAACACAAGCCAAACCTGTCATTCTTCCTTCAAATTTGAAAGGATCAAAGAAAAAGTGAAAGGCTTTAGCGAAAAAAAA